GAATTTTACCAGTGAATATAATTTTAGCCTACTATATACTCATAATATTTGATTTATAGTCCTATGCTTGCAGAGTCTTTGGGAGATTTACCGCCTATCTTTTGTGTAAGTTACTTTTTACAATAATTATCTTTATAATGGATTTGTTATTTATTACGAAGAATATAACTAAAATGTAATATTAAATATAGCAAGTTGGAGAACTTGAAAGGCTTCGTGATGAAGGAATATTATTAAGTTATAAAGCTGCATATCTTCATGAATATCAATTACCTTCATATGCAACTAAGAATTTTGAAAATTCACCTTTTAAGAATCCTACTAAAGTTATACTTGAAGTTTATGATGATATGCCTCATTGCTGGCAGGTAAGTTAAATTATTTTTTTAGAATATTGTTTTTTTTTTTTGACGTAAGTACGCGGTACTTGGCAAATTTTTATTCATAATTTTATAATGAACAATTATATAGGCGTTCTTTTCTTCTAAACCTTCTCAAATAGCGATAGAACGCTGTGGTGAGTTTATAGACCGTGTTACTTCTATAGAAGATAATAATACTTCCATTGTTGATCTTCTTAAAGAAGATGTATCTCCTTCTATTTCTATTTCCCCCTCGCTTATTGCAATGAGAGTCAGTACAAATGGTGAGATCAGAGAATTGAATAAAACCGACCGGGATTGTCTAAAATGGGATAAAATTGGCATAGTGCCTAAATTTTAAAAGAGCGTTTAAGGGGAGAGCTTCTAAATTTTTTTATATTTTATATTAAAAGAGCGTTTAAGAGGAGAGCTTCTTTTTTTTAAATCGATGATAAATTTTTATTAAAGGATTTTATTAGTTAGAGTTGTAGGGTGGTTTTCTGGTTCAAATAATTCAAATAGTAAATAAAATTATTAAGATCAGTTCAAATCTCATTAGGATATAAGCATTTAATAAGCGTTGTTTTGATAATAGCATCCTTTAAAATATTACATTTAAGAAATTTGACATATGGAGGATGCCAGTAGAAACTAAGCAAATTGTTTTCTAAGTAAATTTTTTTAAAACTTTAAAATAAAATATTTCAATAACTATTAAACCAAACTTGATAAAAATTTTTTTATTTTAATTCTATATAGTTATAGAATTAAAATAAAATAAAAAAATTACCAAGTTTGGTTTAATAGTTGTTGGGATATTTTGATTTAAAATTAAAAAAAAAACTCACTAAAAACAATTTGCTTGGTTTCTACCGGCACCCATATGATGATAGGTAATTAATTGCTTAGTAAGTAATATTAATTATAAAATGAAAGCTTGTAACATACGATATTATCATAGCGAGTTTAGCTCTCCGAAAGTATTGATAATCGGCATTCTTGCAGAAACATATATGTATAACAATATTAAGTTTACAGTAGTCGCGAGTTACCTAAAATGTATAAATTAGGTTCTAGAAATTATCGTTAATAGTATAGTTTTTTAAAATACCCTTTACATTTTGGTCATCCAATATTATATCTCACATTAGAGATCAACATTATCGTAAATATTACACAAGAAACAAGCTTTTTGTCTTAGCAAAGAAGTTTTCTTGCAAGATTATAATCTCGATCTGCTTGTCTGTTGATTTAAAAGATGCGATAACAAATTTTGTGAAAGTTTAATTTTTAGATACAAAATTTTTTGCAAGTTACATTTTCAAATTAGTATCTAGAAAAATTTAAACTATAATTTAAGTATGGTATAATATTGTTAATGGTATTTATATTACTAAATAAAAAATTAAAAAAAATTTATTTCCGATTGATGAACTATCATAAATGAGAGAAGAATATGATATTTCGAGCTTTCAATTTTAATTTATTATTTACCGGATTTGGCCTTTAAAAGCATGATAGTAACATATATGACATGTAATCACATAATATAAGGTGAGTGTGGGTATTATGGCGAAGTTAACACTTCCTACTAATAAAGCTTAATAAAAATTTGGTTATATATATATATATATATATATATTCATTTATGCAAATTTTAACCTGCTTTACAATTATAATACGAAAAAAACGAGTTTGATATAACGTTACTTAGAAGAATACAATTTTTATGATCTTTTTTTTTTCATTTACATTTCTCTTGCCTTCACCTCTGGCGATTTTTCTTTAATTAAAATCGGTTACACTTAAAACGAGATTTTTTTATTATTAAGCAAATCGAATTGCTTTCACCAGGCAAAATTTTTCAAAATGGCATTTTTACTTACCCACAAATTTTGGCACGATATGAAAAACTTTTTATTAAAAGCTTTTTTTCGTAACAAAAAAAAAAAATCATTAATAAAATGTTATAAGTATTGTGCCAAAATTTGAGGGTAAGTAGAAATTCGATTTGCTTAGTGAAAAAATCCCGTAATATGTTCAATTCGCCATAGTACAGTACCTTAGTAAACTTGGTAAAATTCCGGCCTAATTTTTTGATCGTCGCTCTTAGCCAAACTAAATCGGGAATCTGCCGTGAAATTTTGTTGCGGCAGCTAGGGTTAATAAAAGGCAAAGATGCTACGCAATAAGACTTCTGAATTTTTCTTATTCACATTTATGATTTGAATTCTACCATATCCAATAGTGTTCAATAGGATCAATTTCAACTAAATCATAACCTTGACAAAAAAATATTTTTCTAGAATTTCCTTTAGTAGGCTTAATAATTCCGTTCTTAATTTTCTGAATATTATGAAAAATCATCAATCACATTCTTGTTAATTTTCTTATCATTTATTGAACGCTGTTTGCCATTTTTCTACAAAATAAATTTTAAATATAAAAAAAAACATGAAAAAATATAATTCAAAGTACACAAAATTTCCAGGTGATATTATCTGTTCTTTTTCCGGTAATGTTTTTTTTTAGCCAGAATTTAAAAATCACAGTCAGAAATAGGTATATGAATGACGAAAAAGGAAAAACCTGTAATTCACCTTTTCATTTTATCAGACTCAGAATCTAATTTGTGTGAATATCCTTGATTGATTCATTTGATGCAAGTCAATAGTGTTATCAAATCAATTTTACAGGATCAATCAGATAAAATGAAAAGTTTCTATTTTCCATCACTCATATTGTTAAACTATATATTACAATACGATAATTTTCAAAGCGTCCAGAATTTATGAAAACGGCTGTAAAATTACCTGCTGAAATTGTCCTAATTTAACTGGAAATATCCAGCAATTTTACAATAGGATTTGTGCATTGATTCAAAGTAAATAAGGTTTAAAAACAATGACGTACCCGAGTAATTAAATGTAAGTATGCTTTTTTTGTTACATTAAAGCTGTTTTCATAAATCCTGAACATTTAACAAAATTCTAGCTGAATTTTTCCCGATCCGATTAAGTTTGTGATTTCGGCATAAAAGATTCAATGAATTGACATCTATATTATCTACTGTATGTAGTATGTCAGAATGGAATATTGATAGATTTAGAATCGATATAAGTTGATTCTAAATGCATTTACTGTAAGTTGAAAATCCACTCAAATCGGTAAAGAATTTTGAATTAATTACAGTTGATTCTGAATGCACTTAGTGCACATTTAATTTTAAATAAACCAATTTATATAAACAGTAATACATCGTAAAGCTATTTATGCATGTATTCTAGCCATATGTTCTAGCTATACTAATTATTACGAACGTGAATATTGAGATGGCGGCTATTTCAGCGAGGCAATTTGCCTTTTGATAATTCCAGCGATTTACATTAAATATTATTAAAAACTTTTGTAATTAAAATATATATATATTACTGATTTATTACTCAATTATGAAAAAAAGATGTATCGGGATTAGGGTAATGGAATGCGCTCCACGGTCTTTGTTTTGATAATGGTCTAAATTTTTTTTGAATTTTAACTGCGGATATTTATAAGAAAGGCATGACTTTTATAAG